GAGAAGATGGAATTTGTGGGGTTTACATATTGGCAGGACAATAAATAAAAACAGTCTATATGCTCGTACATTGGTTACATTTGTTCTGGGGATTCTTAGGATTTTTAATTTCGTCTATGATACAAAAGAAAAAGACCATCAAAATTTTCGGCTGTTCTGATTAAGCCCCTCGTACAATAAAGATAGCCTCGTGTTTCAATGTTCTTTCTTTTGCTTAACTAAACACTAAGGAAGGTATGAGGGATGTTGCACGTATTCATTATCCCTCATGTACATACTCAATCAAACCGAGACTGCAATTCTCTTGTAATTGTGTTGTGATTAATGCTTCCCAGGGATCACTTTGTTTCCAGATTTTCATAATTTACCATTTTTAAAGACCACACCTTAATTTATAAACAAAGACATATTCAATACACAAATACCGTCACTCTTACGTTTAGGATGGAGACAAAGGGCGGAGTTACAACGGTCGGTGGAGCAGCACTCGAAACACGATGACGTTTCCCTAGATACAAGATCTCTTCCAACAATTGTAGGAACTGCAGCATGCGAATCACAATTCTGAATTAAAGAATTGGTAAAGAAGGTAAACAAAAAGAACAGCGATAAGGCGCATGCTGTTTTATTACTAACTGTACAAATAAACAAGAGCCACCACCGGGCGGGGGCAACGCTCGACTTTTTACTTTCTCTAAAAGCAAACAACTGTACAAATAAAAAGGAGGCGTTCGTGGACGAGTAGTTAAGATCATTGACTTCAAACTATTGCCCCTCACCGCTATCGGTTCTTATCCCATCATGAGCTTATCCCCGTCTTAATCTTTCATGTAAGGAAGCTACCCAGCTAGCTTATGGATCGTCGGTGGTTCTACTCAGATGCCTGAAATAGTGCATGCGGTCTTCCTCAATCCGTAAAGCTGGAAAGTCGCAATATGACCTTAACAGCGTTGATGCGACATAAAAGAAGTTGACTTATTTCTAGCAGAAATATGTCCATTTGCTCACCTTCAAAATATTTTTATTTTCAGACTTTAATATCAAACAAAATACATTATCACTTATATTTTATTACATTTGGTATTTTTGTACGCGCAACTAAGCTGTTTGATATGTTTGAAACTTTCTCGGAGGATATAAAAAAAATCCGAACAAAGGTAAAATTGTTTGTCCCTCATGATTTTTTTATATAACTTGTCATTTCTGACATGTGAATTTTTGTTCATTCTTTTATAACTCACAGATGAATGCTTTGGTATTAAATAAGCCATAAAGTCTATTTTACAAGCAATTTCACTGAATAGAAGAATTTTAAATACCTTATTATCAATGCACCCAAGACTCTGTTGTCCTGTTGTCAGATTGTGGTAACAGGACTGGAAAAAATAATTGTATATACTCATGAATTGAACATATGTATCGGCTGACTGACAAGGCCATGTGTTGTGACACACATGAAATGCTCAAAACTTTTACAATACTATTTTCACTATTTCAACCTTAAAGTAAATTCGACATTTTTATTATTCATTTCATCTCTTGAAATGATAAGATTTTTTTCTTCAAAATAATTAAAGATAATGTCTATTGAAATAAGATAGGAAAATGTTTTTTTTAATAATTGTGTCCCATGTAAGTAAGTCATGTGTGGTTTAAATTTGAGTCGCTTTATCTCCTCACCACTGTCGTAGAGCAGTAAAACTGTTACATGTGATTCATTATTTTACCCAGAACTTGAAGTGCAAATTTTGTAATTTTGCATTCATCTAGACTATCTAGTTTATATTCAATGATCTCATTTATTTAACCTATTACATATTCAGTCATTTCATTGATAATACTTTATGTATCTTTTTCTTTTGTTTTTGTGGCTCCTAAACGCTAGAACGATTTGAAATATCCTCTTACCTGGCCAGATGAACACGACCTTGTGACATTGCATTTATTTATATCAGCAACATTTGAGCAACTGTAGCATTCAAGTGATTCTGTAAACAAAATGGTAATGAAGCATTCGAGTCTTGACAAGTAATATTTAACTTCCTATTTCAACAAAACGGCGTACTTGAAAACTTTATTTCACAATCTACATATATCATAGCATCATGCTTGTTTGTGTGATCATGCATTATTCTTCAATCAAAAAGGTATTTTCTCTTATTTGATTCATCATCACATGATATTTGTGTGTATTTATGTATAACGTTTAATGATACTATTAAAGAATTCTAATTTCTCTATAGTGTTGCCGCTGGTTAACATCTTTCCTCCGCCCCTTATCAGGAGGGTTTTTTATTTTCAGTGGGATGGTAGGCCTCACTGGGTAAAATATGGTATACAATATCCTGTAAGGCTGCCAGTATATGATTTCTATTACTGTTGTGATTTAGACAATGTTAACTAATTGCATATCTTAACATTCTTTTCTTTTCTATTACCTGATAACTATAATATTGTATTTTGTGTTATCATGATCACGTGACGTGATAATAGTTTCATTTATCTATTTGCATGGCGATGTACTATGTACAAGTCTAAAATAAAATGTATGCTCTGTTCTGTTCTGTTCTGTTCTTATCACTATATTAATGTAGTAATATACTTTTGTATGCAGTCTGCGGGCGGCGGATGTCAAGGAATTACCAACCACTGTTTGATATTCTTTTAAACACGGCCTCATTACCTCAATGGTGTATGGTGGCTGATTTAAAACACGCAACGCGGAATGTTCCAAATCAGCCACCATAATAGTGACAATTTCTTTTATCACTGCTTGGTTTCAAAAGACATAAATCTTTATTTCTGAAATGAAAATGTTTTCTTTCGTTTTTCTGCAAATATTAATATTTGCTATGGGAAGTGAAATGAATTTAAATGCCATTTTTTATTAAAATAATTTTATTTTATATTAGGAAAATTTTAGATCTTTTTAAAGATGCGTTACATTTATACAAACCAGAGTATCCCACCAAGGCTATGAGAAGTATCACATAAATTGTGTCATCTGAAAAATAAGCAAATCAGATATAAATAAAATCAATAAAGCAACATATTTGCTGAATATCAAATTAATGTAACATGGAAAAATAAAAGATAACTCCGGGTAAAACACTTAATAGAGGAAATTTATTTTTTTCCCTATAAATTCAGGATTTATTTTCATCGAGTGCCGAAAACCACGAGTGAAATATGATAGTTTTCATAGCACAAGATTAAAATAAATTCTGTCTTTATAGAAAAAACTTGAATTTTCAGTTTATTATATACATTTTTTCTCTTTTTTGAAAGACTTTCCCTTAAATTTTGTATATTGGCTGAATTTAGCAGAAAGTTGTCTGGCAAGACACCTGTGAAAATACGGAAAATATGTTTCACTGCATGGAAAATACGGAAAATGAAAATACGCATTTTATTCCATCAATATTTCACAATATTTAATTTGCAAGTATATGATAAATAGAAGATATTTGTTTAGATCAGTGTAAGATCGGAGCCACGAGTAAAATATGAACTTTTGGTGTTCACGAGGTGAAATATATTTCGATCTTACACTAAAATAAACAAATTTTCTTTTTATTATATTCAAAGAAACGTTGAGAAAGACATTTAACCTAATACTATATGAAAAGCGCGTCAAAAAATAATACAACGTGACGTCATTTACGATGTCACATCATTAGGTTGTATTCCTTTTACTGTGCACGCTTGTATTTCACTGAAACAATGTAACGGACTTAAATTCAAAACGGTGAAAAATATCAATTTGATAATTTCACTGTTTCAAACAGTGAAATATCAGTTTTATATTTCACTGATATATTTCTATAAACCACTGTAAAGCATGTTATAAAGATATTTACCAACTTGAAAAATTATGCATGATTTGTAAGCTATGGTAAAGTATTTATTTTGATAACCTAATATTTCTTTGGACGCGATGTTGAAAAATAAAACTAATGGTCATAAAAATTTTGAGAAATGACTTATACTGCCGTCGTCCTCCTAATCTTTCTGTATGTCTGTTGTTTTTAAACAACCAATGATAAATAGGAAATCTAGAAAAACTATTCACTAAAAACAAACAAGAAAAAATTTCATGATCAGACTTATAGCATTCTACATTTTCATTATTATTAACATAAAATAGATCTTTATACAAAATGATTAATGTTGTTTCTTTAACTTACCCATAAATTTTCTGTTCAAACTACGATTCCTATTAAGAAATATTCATCTTTAGTTCCCTAAAGATAAGGCTCGATTGTGAAATTTCAATTGTAAAGTAGAACTACATTGTACTTAACTACATTGTACTTGTAATCAAAAGGAGTATGAACCTACATGTCGCCTGTTTCTGCTCTTATCATGAGAGAAGATTTAAGATATAAAATCGCATGTAGATCTAGTACAATAAAATAGAGTATACGTAAATGTTGGGATGGGTTAATAGGACGTTGACGTCCTACGTGTACGTGTACCTAAGTCTAAGGACACTTTAGAACTAACTTTACTACAAACCTAAGACCTTTTTCTTTAAACATTTTATGTTCAGTGAAATAAATAGAGGATATTGAATGAGAGTAGTTAAATACTAAATTTATTGAACGAGTTGAATAAAATCATACTATGCGAGCCTCTGGCTCGCATAATATTGTTTTATTCAACGAGTTCAATAAATTTAGTATTGAATCTACATGAATATGATATTCTATTTATCACATAATTAAAATAAGAACAGTAAACTGTTAAAATGAGTATTTTTTTATTGACGCGCCCATAGTGTAACGCTTACATTCTAACATAAGAGCGTTTTAACGCTATGTTTCTATATAGCGCAAATGACGTCACGTCAAATTGTTATTACACTAATGTAATTCATCGTTTTTATTACACTCCTGCGCCGCAGTTTATAGATCTATGATAATGTAAAATAATGCATTCTCCTAAATACAATTGTCGTATGGTCCTTTTTCAAATGTAGGAATGGTCTGTTTATGCCTGTAAGGACATAAAACATACGCCTTGATAAATAAATAAACAAGATAAACAATTTCTGGCGCAAACCAAGAGAAATATTTATACCAAAGTGCATAAATACAGATCCGAAATACATAAACGATCAATGGAAATATGCATGATAATGAAACATAATGAATAACAACAATTACCTGTAAGGACATAAACATACGCCTTGATAAATAAATAAATAAACAAGACAAACAATTTCTGGTGCAAACCAATAGAAATATTTATACCAAAGTGCGCATGCATGAGGTGGATTTTCCGGGAAGTTTGTAAAAACTGAGGCCCGGCATGCAAATTATGTCAAATGAAATATGAGAAATTAGTTGTTATAATGAGATGATGAAATGGAATGATATAGGAATGATATGGGATAATGGATTGTATATCGGACTGTAAACAGACAAATACAAGAGATATATATACAAATACAAGGACAAAATGATACATGAAAACGATATTCAAAAACACGAATATCGACCACATGACATACTTCCCCACTTTGGGGAATGTCGCCCCGACATTCATAAAATATTAAAGAGGAAGAGCTTGAATCAGACATTGCAAGTAGTAAGCTTAGACCATAAAGTAACTAAACTACTAGGTACTACATAACTAAATCTAAATACTGAAGGCAATTACAACCTGTGAGTAAATATATAATACCCGGGCAAAATACCTTAAACTCAAGCATGTTCCACAAAAATAACGTATGCCGCGAATCGCGAAAAATATATGTCACGCGGAAACAAAATTTTAATTTATCAGTAGAACTGTGAATTCATTGAAGAGGTGCACTCTCAACAATAAATCCTTTATTTTTAAAGTACTGTAAAGTACATTTATAAATTATCAAGGTAAAATATATGGTACATGGTATAAAACATAAAACGAAACACATCAGGTACTAAACAACGCCTAACTTCAAAGTTGAGACACACCTAGACTATAAATCAAAAGAAAAAGCATTAATCTAATTTCCAGTTATCATTAAGCATCCATCCGGGTTTCTTTCTTGTACGTTTCTGCCTCTGTATGTTGTTATTGTTGTCCTTAGTTGGATTTCTCAGTGCAGGAATAACATATTTTGAACCTGTAACAAAATGAGAAGTTTGAGTTGTTGACGTGGCATCTTGTTTGCGGTTTGATGTTCCTGTAAAAGAAGTTGACATACAATTGTTAGAATCATGTATTGTGGCAGAATTGTTTTGTGAAACATTTGATGGACTTGATGTAAGTGAGGAATTGAAATCTAACGGAGCTGTAATGGAAATATCAGAGGAGGGACTGGAGAACGAGTTCTGATCCGAATGTAAGTCAGAGGAAGCGGGCTTGTATAAGGACTCAGTTGTTTAGCACAAAGGCATCCCCATAAAGGGAAGTAAAAGGTTCCTGTGCAAAACCCTGGACCTGTCCTTGCTGTTTTCCTTCTTCACCTCATAGATGGGAATTCCAGAGGTGGGCTGGCTAAGAATGGTGTAAACATCTTTCTCCCATCTATCGGCAAGTTTGGATTTTCCCCTAACACCTACATTTCGGACCAGTACTCGATCCCCGGGCTTCAATTCCGCTTCTCTCACACGGAGGTCATAGTACCTTTTATGTTTCTTGCCTTGTTTCTTGGCCTCTCGGAGTGCAACAGAATATGCGAATTTTAGTCGGTTCTGGAGACCTGAGACGTAAGAATGGTCCTTGACAGGAGATTTGTCTGGTTCGATGCCAAGAAACGCATCGATGGCAAGCCTTGGGTGGCGACCAAACATGAGGAAGTGGGGAGAATAACCAGTAGAAGAATGGGGAGTAGAGTTATAGGCATGGACAAGAGCGGGAACATGAGACTTCCAATTGACCTTCTTGTCGTCTTCCAGGGTCCCCAACATATTCAAGAGGGTTTCATTAAAGCGCTCAGGCATCCCATTACCCTGTGGATGATACGGAGTAGTCCTGGTCTTGTCAATATTGGCCAACTTGCACAACTCCCGGATAACTTCGCTTTCAAAATTTCGTCCTTGATCACTATGGAACCGACTAGGAAAACCATAGTGACAAACAAAATTTTCAAAGAGAAGTTTAGCGGTAGTATGTGCAGTTTGGTTCTTGGCAGGGATAGCCTGAGCAAAACGAGTGAAGTGATCGGTAATGATCAAGATGTTTTCATAACCACCCCGAGACATCTCCAGAGAAAGAAAATCCATACAGACAATTTCCATTGGATAACTCGACTGAATAGGATTTAACTTAGCAGTCGTTTTATCCAATGACTTTCTCCGGATACATCTGGGGCAGTTTCGAACCCTGTGTTCGATATACTGCTCTAACTGAGGCCAAAAGAAACGTGAACGGAACAAGGAAATCGTTCTTGTACAACCTTGATGTCCTGCCTCATCATGCAAACCCTGGAAAGCTAAATCAAGCATATGTTCAGGGAGAACAAGCTGAGTAACAGGATAACCATTTGAAGTACCTTTACGGTAAAGAATTGAATCCTTAAAGTAAAGGTTGCTCCATTCCTTCAGAAACGATCGAACCTTGGCCGTTTCATGTGACTTTTGGCGTTCAGTTAACCTATGACCAATTTCAAAGAGTTGAACTAAACGGGAAAGTGTTGGATCATCTTGCTGCTCCTTCTTCCAATCAATAGACTTAAGGCTGCTTCCGACTTCGATCTCGTCTCTGGGATTAAGAGAAAGAACAGTTTGATTAAAAGAAATACATTCAACAGCTGGAAGTTGACCTGGACCTTCAGATTGAGAAAACAAAAGAGCCTTGACAGCATCTGAAAGGAGAATGTTAGAATCAGGAAGAAAAGAAGCTGAAGGAATTCTAGAAAGGGTATCGGCGTCGATGTTCTCTTTACCAGCTCTGTACCGCAAGTTGATGTCATAAGCAGACAAGGAGGATAACCACCTGTGACTGGTAGCATCAAGCTTCGCAGATGAAAACACATAGGTAAGTGGGTTATTGTCTGTTCTAACTTCCACAGAATTACCATAGAGATAATCATGGAACTTATCACAGACAGACCACTTAAGAGCCAAGAACTCTAGTTTGTGAGCAGGATAATGTCTTTCTCCTGCTCTCAAACCCCTACTGGCATAGGAAATAACATGCTCCTTACCATCAGCACCAACCTGGTAAAGAACCGCTCCCAAACCGCTAGCTAGTACTGGCATCAACATTAAGAATGAATGGTTTATTGTAGTCAGCAAAAGCTAAGACTGGAGGAGAAGAAAGTTTATCTATCAAAGAACAAAAGGCATTCGGCTGATCTGGACCCCAATTGAAAGGAACTTTAGATTTCTTAGAAGAACTTTCGCAGGTGGGAATACCAGTAAGAAGGTCATTCAAAGGTTTGGCGATCTGTGCGTAGTCTTTAATGAACCTCCTGTAATAACCTGAGAAACCTAAAAAGCTACGCAACTCCTTAAGGCAAGTAGGTACAGGATATGTCTTGAGTGTTTCAATCTTCTCAGGATCTGTCTTCACACCATCAGCACTAACAATGTGACCCAAATACTGGACTTGCGGCTTAAAGAATTCACACTTGGACCCTTTAAGTTTAAGATTGTGCATCTCAAGACGTTGAAAGACAGACTGAAGGCGACGGAAATGAGTATCAATAGAATCAGAAAAGATGATAATGTCATCGAGATAAATCAAACAGTCACGAAGGTGAAGTTCGCCCATACAACGCTCCATCAGACGCTGAAACGTTGCAGGGGCATTGGTAAGACCAAAAGCCATTCTGTTGCACTCATAGAATCCGAGAGGCCCAACACTAAAGGCAGTCTTTTGCTTATCAGATTCTTTGACTGGGACCTGCCAGTAACCTGAGCGTAGGTCGAGCTTAGAGAAAATAGTGGAACCTATGAGAGAATCTATAGTTTCGTCGATGCGAGGAAGGGCATAAGCATCCTTGATTGTACGGTTGTTCAGTTTCCGGTAATCGATACAAAAACGCAAAGACCCGTCCTTCTTTCTTACTAACACAACATTAGAAGAAAAAGGACTCTTGGACTCACGGATCGCTCCTGCGGAAATCATGTCTCGTAAATGCTCACGTACCTCCTCAAACATCCCTGGTGGTATTCGGCGATAAGGGTCTTTAAAGGGTGTGGGATCAGTCAGATTGATTTCATGTTCGACCAAGTCAGTAGAACCAAGATCAGTAGGCCCAGAGGAGAAAAATATGTTTCCACTGATTGAAGAAGGAAGTTGCCTTAACCTGCTGTTCAGAAGTTAAAGTTTCAGTGGGAATAGAAATACCAAGGTCATCAAGAGACTTGTCTGAATTGTGGGATTTATCAGCAACGCCCTCTGAAGGATCAATGGTGCGAACAACAGACACATCATGTAAATTACAAAGAGTCATTCTTGGATGAATGGTAATAGCTCTAGCAGTCAAGTTACAAACACGTACTGGAACCCTGCAAAAAGAAGTACCAGGTTGTAATTTAACCAATCTAGGGCACACATTCAACATAAGAGAATCAGTAGACTCTGTAACACCAGATGACATGTTGCCAATATGTCTCACCTTTCCCTCAAGTGTTGTTGTTTCAAAAGGCTTCACAATGACAGTCTGATGATGAAGAAGAGTAACAGGTTTGGTGACAATGTCAGACAAGGAAGATATGATGTCTGAAAGTGGAGATGATGTTGACTCTGTTCCTGATGCCTTCAAAACATTCAGTATGTTGGTGCCTATTATCAAAGGAACTCTGTTGGAGTACTCTGTGTCTGGAACAATCAGAATAGGAGCTGAAAAAGATTGTGACGAAAGAGAAGGAAAAGAAATATCAAGAACTGAATATCCAAGATATGGTACCTTAGAACCATTAGCAGAAGAAATATCCAACATAAAATCTGACAACTGTGACATGACAGGCTGGGGCTTTAAAGATTTGAAGAATGAAATTCCAATAGATGAGATCATAGAACCAGTATCTATCAAAGCTATAGTAGAAGTGCCATTTATAAGAATTTCAGATTCATTAGAAGAGCCAACTAGAGGAAATGTAGAAGCAGGGTCATTAGAAGGGGAAGTATGACCTCTCATCTGCCCTGCGATGGAGGTCGACTGTAGTTTAAAGGACTGGCAGAGGCTTTGACATCCTGAGTGGTAGATCTCTCTTGTTTCAAGCCCTTGAGTTCCTTCTCCATACTAGACAGCCTGGACTCCATGCCTTCCATCTGCTTAGAAATGGCCCTTATTTCCTGGAGAAGTCTACTATCTACAGTAGTGGCACACTGCTGTGCAGGAACAGACTCATTAGGAGTAGTAGAAGTAGAAACAGAAATATTGGCCTGAGGGGTTGCCTGCTTGGGTGGAAGAGGGAGAGAAGTGGCTAACCGAGACAAGCGTAAGTCTTCCTCAATGGCTCTCAACTCTTTACGAAGAGTATTGAAGTTGAGGTCCTTCTGAAAAAGAAATCGAGAGGCATTCTTCAGCTCTATATCTCGGAGGCCTGACCACAACCTACCCCGCAGCATCTCATCCTTGGACATCCTATCAAGATTGCACGGTATCCTGCTAAGCAACCTCTCCAGACGCAAACTATAGTCAGCAACAGACTCATCCACCTTCTGCTGTTCATTATAAAACTGTTCCTTCAACCTTTCAGTTGAATGAACATTACCATAAATGCCATCTAACTCATTCAAGATCTCAGGAACAGTGGCATTTTCACCTAAATGCAAAAGAACACCTCTGGCACTGCCTTTCAAAGATTTACGAATGGTCTCCCTGATAATAAATGGTGGATAATTACCCTCATCAATGACACAATTAACATCATAGCGCCATATCTCGAACATTGACGAGTTGTATTTCCCATCTCCTGAAAAAGAAGGTAACTCAGGGATACGGGCATGTACCAAGTCCCTATTTGTCACAAAAGACAAGTATGGTTGAGGGTTAGGCATGGGTGGAGGAATGCTATAAACAGGTGGAGGAAAGTGAACCTGATGTGTTCTGCTGATATGTTCCCGTATAGGAGTAGGTGTAACATTAAATGTATGACTTGAGTGTACTGTATGAGGTGTACTTGCCATTGCATTAACTTGAAACTTACCAGATTTCTGTAACTGTCTAGCAAAAAAATCCAGATCTGCATCTGAATAGTCTAAGGACTGAGTTGTACCATCTGCCATGATGAGAAAACAAAAAAAAATGGATTGGACCAAAAAAAAATGAACGTGACTTAAAATTCAGGATTTCAAATGGCCCAAATTGTACACCATACACTAAAAAAAATGATTTACATCAGTAACCAGCTTAGGTCTATATAGATGTAATAAAAAACAAACAATAGAAATAAAACAATTTTATTTCAAGAGAAAAAACACAAAGACTTGAAAATAATCAATCAACTTTATTCAAATTATGGCCCACACAGTGCACCATACATTACACACAATTTCAAGGTCACCTGAATAATATATGTACAAGATACAGACAGTAAATTAGATCAAAGTTTGTAAAACAATGGATCTAATAACACTGCTATTCAGTCTCTATTATAAAGCAGTATTAAATTCAACTGAATAATATTAACTTAACTTACTCAATAAATAACTTATTACCGACCCCTGAGATTGTCAAGTTACAGGTAACAAGTCTATAAAATTATATTGTGAAATGCACAGACACTTGTTCAGTTACTTGCTATAGTGTATAAATTTCAACTAATTCATGGTAATTGCAAGAGACACAAAGGCTTGTGAAATTATATGCAGGAATTCTGTATTGCAAACAATGTTCAGTCCAGTACTCTATACAATATCAGAAAAAAAATCCCAAAGACCTAACTTACATAGATTATCTATAAATTTACCTGCTCAGGCACAGACTAAACTTAATACAAGTACACACAAAGATAACCGGATTAAATAAATGTGTAAAGTTTTCTTTCTTCTGATTTAGACAATTATTTCAATGCAAAATGTTTTATTTTCAGTTCAGAAAGTAAAATAATATACCTATCAACAGACTTTTTATAATGACTAAATGAGTAGAACCCAAATTATCAATTTTTCAGCTGTGATACAGTAGCAACAATTGATTTGCTATTTGTATATATGTTAAATTCTTATAAATATAGAATAATTCTATATAAGAAAATATATTACCATTTACACAAAACACTTCGCTATTCGAAAATGAAGAAGGAGTTTAGTGTCGGTTCTCACAAGCTGTGTATAAAAATATAAAATCAGCGGAATTCAAAAATGAACAATTTATTCTAATCAAAGAATAAATATTTCACTTCAAATCTATTTACCGGCTACATGATACCGTCGCAGTATTTTGAATTAATTGCCGTTTTAAGTTTAAAGAATTTTAAATATAATTGATTTTAACTGCCCGGGTTGAACAATTTATTCTAACTAAAGAATAAATATTTCAAACCTACATGTATACTTTATTAATATTTACTCACAAGTCAACTACAATGTTCTGTTCCTACAATAAATGCTAAACTAATCAATCTACATGCTTACTTCAGGCAAAATTCTGGTTCAAGCAAGTCCTGCTTATATATAATAATAATAATAATAAAGATAGGTACAGTAAGTAATAATAATCAGCTACAATAAGTTATCAGAATAGGCTATGAAATAATTCAGCTGTTGGATATATAATTTCTGGGGTAATATAGGATTTATTACAGTAAATGGACAATAGCAGACTGGATGGAAATAATTCCAAATAGGGACAGGTGTAATATACTAGTTATTCAGACCAAGATGAAAGATAAAAGAGACAGAGTGTTAGCTCACCAACCACCTGATAGTTAAATGCTGTGTCTACATGTCTGTGAACTGTATCAATCTTCAAAATGCCAGCAACAGGATAAAAATCAATGTCACAGAAGCCTGAAGTACAAGACTTTGTGGAATTCAACCTAAAATATACAAAATCAAATAATAATATACATGTATATCTATGGTTCAAAACAAATTGATCTTCACATGTAGATCTTGATCAAGATTTTACACAACTCAATATAAATTATTTTCCTTGCTAAATAACGACTCAAATCAAAGTAATAATTAAATTTTAATGAATGAATGTGCGTCACTGTAAGACTATTATATTAACAAATAACTATACAAGCAATACATGTAAGACTATTCAATTATCAGATAAAATATGCAAACATGCAATACAAGAAGACAATTCAATTATCAGATAATTAAACGAACATGCAATACAGATAATGTTGAACATAAATGCAACAAGCATAAATACCCGCCTATAACACTAAACTTAAATGATATTGAATCACGACCGTAAACAAATCATGCAAAGCATAGGATGCACAACAATTGATTTTTAAACTATTAACAATAAATTAAATAAAGAAATAACTATTAAAACACAATATGAAATGAAATAAAGATGAAAGACAAATAAACAACATGAACATATGAATGTAAAAACAAAACGGGAAAAAAAATTAAATAAATAAATAAATAGATAATAATAATAAAACAACTACATAAATGGGTTTGTTGAAGGGCGGGCGGGCAAAAATGTTGTTCAAACAGTGACGCTTACAAACAAAAATCAAGAAGTGGCGCGAATAACTGGCAGTGTCGTTAAATAAACTACTACGACCAATCAAAAAACGAGATATGAGTATCCAATAAGAAAGCTTGTTAAATATTAGGCTAGAAGAAAATACTGACGAATACATAACAGGGAAGCTGTCGTCAATAATTAAATATTTTAAATATATTTAAAATAGTCCAATTATTTTCCTTGCTAAATAACGACTCAAATCAAAGTAATAATTAAATTTTAATGAATGAATGTGCGTCACTGTAAGACTATTATATTAACAAATAACTATACAAGCAATACATGTAAGACTATTCAATTATCAGATAAATATGCAAACATGCAATACAAGAAGACAATTCAATTATCAGATAATTAAACGAACATGCAATACAGATAATGTTGAACATAAATGCAACAAGCATAAATACCCGCCAAACAACAGCCAAAATAAGCAAAGGCAAAGCAAACATAAATAAAGCACAAATTAACATGCAAAGGAAATTAAACTGAAGTAGCCTCTTACCTAATAATCTTATACTGGCCTTATATCTTAAGTCTACAACAAACAGAAATAAAATTGACAAAATATTATATGATACAAAAGACAAAGTATCAAGTATCCTAAGAATTTTAACTGAACAACTAACGTGGTAAAGTGGAAATCACACGTAAGAAAAAATGCCTAAGACGATTGGAGCCTTCTGTGTTCAAATGAAGCCCACCATCTAATTTAGCAAATAAAAATCTTTTAACTTGACCTTTAAAACAAAATGGTCGGTATGATCTTATGAATTTAAAATTCAGATCTGAAGCCAAAACATCTTCAAGAAAATGATTTAATTCTTTGATTTTAATGTCTTTATCAGAATGATCCACCGGTCGAGGGAGAACAGAAGAAATAAAAATCTTAATGGAATGATTTTCATGCCTAATAGATGCAATCAAATTGGCAAAATCAGAGCCGATAGAATGAATTGACTGTCGATTACTGATATTATTAGTGCCAACATGAACAATAATAAAGCTTTTGTCATACAAATCAATTTTGTGTTGACTAACCAAATAAGCTAATCTGCCAATAGTTGCACCAGGAAAGGACTGGATCTTGACTCCCTCGACCGGAGAAATATTTTTAATGATGGAATCTCCTATAATAACAACAGGACGAATTTCTGCAAAAAAAAAAAATAATAATAATAAATAAATAAATAAAAATAATAGAAAATAGAAAAATAAAATTGAGAAGAAAAAACAAAGATTAATAACAAAGAATAGGTGATGAAAACAAATAAAAATGTAGACAAAGAAGCGAAAAATATGATATGCTGATATTTGAATATCAAATCTATCCGGAAGGTTAAGACATCCTACCGACAATAGACAAGTTTCTCCGCAAGGACGAAACGCATAATCAATATTCTTTGCAATTCTACACAAAACTGCAATAAACTGTTAAAGCAACCTAAAACAAATAAAAATGTAGACAAAGAAGCGAAAAAATATGATATGCTGATATTTGAATATCAAATCTATCCGGAAGGTTAAGACATCCTACCGACAATAGACAAGTTTCTCCGCAAGGACGAAACGCATAATCAATATTCTTTGCAATTCTACACAATACTGTAATAAACTGTTAAAGCAACCTTAATATACTACAATCTGAGACAATAATTAAACTTTTCCTTTATAACTTAACAGGTTTTTACTAACAAAACGAGAAACTTTAATCTTATCTTTAATATCATATTGAATATATCTTTTGTAAGCATCAGAGCGCCAATCACCCATTAGTTGGATCAAATCTGGTGGAATTTCTAGTCTAAATGCCAGAGTTGCAAAACCTCTTCTAAAAGAATGAGTGGAGTATAGTTTTGAATCTAAACCAATACCCTCAATAACTGAGCGCAGTTTAAGAAGAAACTTATAGTAGGTAACTGGCTTACTTGATTTCAACACAAATAAAGGAGAATGATTGGAAGCAGGAATGTGATTTATCATATTCTTATAAGCCTCAACAGGACACAAAACAGAACCAATTATTGGAGACAAAGGAGTGATAAGAATCCTTTCCCCAGCTTGAATAGTTTTAGTCCATTTCATAGAAACTAACAATGTACTATCATCAAAAGAAACATCCTTCCTTAGTAAAAATTTAGGCTCAGATAATTCCTTAGAACTAGTTGGAACGAGATTAGATTTTCTGGCCATTAAGAAAAAGGCAAAAAGAAATAAACACCAGAATGTGTAATTGTCAATACTAGAAAAGTCCAAAAATGAATGAATACTCATCAAAATATCTGGAGTTATAGGTTCTGCTTGTTTAACTATGTGCGGAATGCTTTTAGCAATACCCTTAAGAGACAAATTAAGCAAAAAGTTGTTTATATGTTCAATATTGTAACCTAATAACAGATGGACAGATCTTACTCCACTGATATAATTTTTTATTGAATCTACAGATTTAAAGGACCTGCTAAGAAACTGAGCATATAGTTGCAATGTTTCAGTTGAAGTAGGTAAACTACAAAATTTAAAAAACAAACAAAACAATAAAAAAGATTCCCATTGAACTCTTAAGTTCCTACGAGAACCAACAGCATAGGCTCTTTTGTTGGAATTTCTTAAGTCCATTCTGAGTACTTCAAGATGATTCTCTGAAAACATATATATACAATGAAGACTTAAAATCCACATTACCAATTGTTGACAAAATGAAACACAGACTCATCAACTTTCCACTCTAGCAAATCATATTCATTGGTTAACAACTTAAACTGTATTTCATGAATTGGATTCAAACCCCATCTTGATAAATGATCTGCTATTCGATTATGTTCTGAGGGTAAATGCTGTGCCTTAATTTCAAATTCATTAATTGCCGCAAAATAACAAATCTCTCTGAGACAAGACTGCAAAAAAGGACAACGTGATTTCCCAGTATTTAAAGTGATGCAGACCGACAAATTATCACAAAGAACTAAAATACGCTTGTGCTTAAAATTGCATCCCCATAAATGAACACATACAACCAAAGACAACATTTCAAGTGCCCCAATATGTAACTGTTTTCCTAAAATAAAAGAAGGAAAAACAGAATGAAAGAAATTACCCTTCCAAAAACCACCACAAGATTCTAAACATGAATCTGAAGAAAATATAGCATCTGGCTCTGACCACGAGCCCAGTGAAATCAAAGATACTCCATTATATAAAGGTAAAAATGTACCCCACCACAGGATATCTTTTGTAACCTCCTGAGGAATATCAAAAATCATATTACTGGGAGAACCATGCAAATCTCTTAACCAGTTTAACAATCGACTAACAAACACCCTACTGGATTTAACACAAGAGCCAATAAAATTCAGTTTACCCAGTAAGGACTGTACTTCCTTAATAGAGGCTTTTTCTTTATGTAACCAAAGTGAAAGAAGAATATTGATTTCTTCCAGTCTGTCTGGAGTGATCTCCATGGTCATTTCTGAAGTATTAAATAACACTCCTAAAAAGCTCATTACACTGGCAGGAGGACAGCTTTTATCTACGGACTCTTCAATCCCACTATATTCTAAAACCTTTCCTAAAGTAGAATAAGCCATATGAGCATTCTCGGGTCTCTCAACACCTGCAAAATCATCCAGATAATTGAGAATACAAATACCAAAATTATATAAAATAAATGCTAAAGCGTTAGTCACCCTTTGACAAATAGCAGCAGCACTGCGTAAACCCATTGATAAAACTGTATCACAAAAAATATGCTTATCCCAAACAAATGGTACTAGATTGTATTGTGAAGGACATATGCTTATTTGTCTATAAGCACGTCTTAAATCTTTTTTAAACATTAAACATCCTTGACCTTTGGCTAAAATAAGTTTAATAAAATCATCAATCTTTGGAAATACTAAAGAAATAGATTCCCCTAAATATACGTCTTTGTCAATGTAATCATTCACAGCATTGGAAGTAGAACTACTGAGATCCAAAATAACCCTTCTCTCAGAAACTGACTTTTTAGGAACAGAATTTAAAGGTGAAATCAAAAGATTATCATCAAACGGGTTATTTTTAAAAGGACCAATGACAGCTGCATGGCTTAATTCCTTGACCAAATATTTTTCAATTTCAACAGGAAATTCGGTAGCTCCTTTATAGTTCTTATAATGTGATACATTTTTAGTTGGCTTTAACGTATTTTCATCACCCTGGAAACCCAAAGGAAAACCAAACTCTAACAAGTCACAAACAAGTAAATCTTTGTAATCAAAATGCTTCAGACAAGTACGCAAATAATCAGTATTAATCCTGTCGTTTATTCTAATACGACAACTCTCAAAATTATATTTGCCTGACTGTTTAACAGCTTTATGAATTCTAACCTTATGTAAAGATTGAGAAACACTAGGGCCCTTTTTAATTTCCATACAAAGAGAACATTTATTTGTATGATTACAAATATGTGACTCTAGCGGACTTTCTACCTTACTTCTTATTTGACTGGAATGTGAATTCATTTGATATTCTAACAATCTTGTAGATTTATTAGCACAAAGAAATTTTGGTAAAAAGATATCTTCTAATTTATTTTCATCCACAAAATTAGAATTTACATTACATTGTCACGCTAAAGTATGTGGACAAGAAGAAGAGCTCTCAGGATGTTGAAGTTTAACCTTATCTTTAATCCAACATGTGGCACAAATATGCTGAGCCATATGCATTTTTCCCCGAACAACAATCATGTGATTATGTTTTTGTTCGCATCTATTTCTTTGATATGCAGAACAAAACCATACTGGAGAACTGTCCGTGTCAGCAAATGGTTTGGAATATTGAGACGAAGGATATTTTTTGGGTTTGGCGCCCTGCTGCAAAGAACTCTTACTAGAAGAGTAATTGGAATTAAATAATACTAATTCTAAATAAGTGAAATCATCATTCCAAGATTTAGAACCTAGTTCAATTTCCCTAAGGACAGCGGCGTAGTATGATTTTAATAGTTTAAAATCATGAGATGTATTCAAATACATAATTCTTTTTAAAAGAGCTAACCTTCCGGTTTGCTCAGAACCCTTTGTTTTGGGGTCCGAAATTATCTCTAATTCCCCAGCGACAAACAAGTTTAGATCTAAATTTTGAAAAGAAATATCATGACTAACAAATTCATATCGTAATTGTGAATGTGGATAACGCTGCTTGTATCTAATTTTGTCAGAGGATTTCTGAACAATACCCGACTTTTTACAAGATTTTTTATGCTTATTTACAAGTTTTTTCTTCTTATAACTAGACCCTTGAACAGATTCTTCTTCACTATCCGAACTGGATTCTACATCATTACTTGATGACGAAATGTCCGAATCACTGCTGTCATCCGAACATACTTCAGATTCACTGGAACTGAAGAGACCAATTTTTTTGGATTCCTTTTTTGCTTCCTTCTTGAGCTTTTTTAAGCCTCTCAAATCTTTAATTGTCAAATCTGACGATGAAATTTTATCTAAAAGTTCTGTATTTTTAACTGAATGTTTTGCTTTACCTTTTAAAGCCTTGACCTCTGCCCTTTTCTTGTTCAATTTTATGCGGAGCTCTTCCTTTTCCTGCTGTTTCTTTAGCTGAATTTCTTCCTTCTCTAACTGTTCTAGTTCAGCCATCATCTGCAACATATCGTCGTCCTCGCTGATATTTTCTTCAACAAACAACAAGGAGGAAACGGACGTGGACTTTTTCTCAACTTTCACCGGTTGCTGAGTTTGTAAATTTTCCGGCTCTGGATCCGAATCTGCGTCCCCTTCGTGCATTTTTCGGTAATTTGGCCTGTTTCCTTTACGCAAATTTGACATAATTATTGGAAATACTCTGGCTGCATACCAATTCTTCTCAAACAGAAGTAAATACCAAAAAGTTCAACAAAACTCGATTCTTCTAAGATGAAAAACTTTGGCAACAATTCTGCTCTGCTGCATACAACAGTTCAAAAGTTCACAATACAAATAAAATGTTCGTTACCCTCCTAGCCAAAAGGCTATGAAAGTTTGATCGAAAACTTCTTTAGCTTTTACATTTCAAACGAAGACATCATCTTGTACAATTGATAGTTCAATTCTTCTTGTTACAAACTACTGCAAAAATGTTGTTCAAACAGTGACGCTTACAAACAAAAATCAAGAAGTGGCGCGAATAACTGGCAGTGTCGTTAAATAAACTACTACGACCAATCAAAAAACGAGATATGAGTATCCAATAAGAAAGCTTGTTAAATATTAGGCTAGAAGAAAATACTGACGAATACATAACAGGGAAGCTGTCGTCAATAATTAAATATTTTAAATGTATTTAAAATAGTCCGATAAATGAAAAAATCAACCTAGATCTACATTTTACAATATAACAATAAAATGGCACTTGATACTAATTAAAATGAATAAGACACTAATCCAAAATATGTAAACACTGAATAATTTTAACTGTTTAAAGAATTTACAAATTACACTGTTTGTTTACAAATGCTCAAAGTCCACAAATATATTGTTGTAGTCTAAATGGTCCGAAGAAGTGAATAATCCAACGTTGATATATAAATAACAATAGGTACCTTTAATTAATCAAATGTTAGAGCTCTTTAAAATAAATAGAAGAATAATAGTTGAAACTTTTGTTTGTTTTGATGAAATTCCTTAGGAGTACCCGGTCACCGGAAATAAACAAGAAATATATAAGCCGTTCTGATTGGCTGGAGTCGGGAATTCCCTACGTCACCGTCTGTGTTTGTTGTTTCGTCCCAAATAAATTCGTACCATGAAAAACCAATTCAAACATAAAAATCCACACTGGCCACCAATGTCGTATGGTCCTTTTTCAAATGTAGGAATGGTCTGTTTATGCCTGTAAGGACATAAAACATACGCCTTGATAAATAAATAAACAAGATAAACAATTTCTGGCGCAAACCAAGAGAAATATTTATACCAAAGTGCATAAATACAGATCCGAAATACATAAACGATCAATGGAAATATGCATGATAATGAAACATAATGAATAACAACAATTACCTGTAAGGACATAAACATACGCCTTGATAAATAAATAAATAAACAAGACAAACAATTTCTGGCGCAAACCAATAGAAATATTTATACCAAAGTGCGCATGCGTGAGGTGGATTTTCCGGGAAGTTTGTAAAAACTGAGGCCCGGCATGCAAATTATGTCAAATGAAATATGAGAAATTAGTTGTTATAATGAGATGATGAAATGGAATGATATAGGAATGATATGGGATAATGGATTGTATATCGGACTGTAAACAGACAAATACAAGAGATATATATACAAATACAAGGACAAAATGATACATGAAAACGATATTCAAAAACACGAATATCGACCACATGACACAATGATAGACCCTTTTGTTCGCATACATTTGTGCAAATGCCGATCAGCATTGTTATTCAGAAATTAAGTCATAATATGATGCGAGGAATAAGTTAGGACATTTTCTTTGAAATGCAAAAGTGTCTCAGTTTTGGTCTAAAAACTGATTTTACGGAGGAGCATTAATTAGTGCCAGGTGTATGTTTTTATTAACTCGAAATTTCGAGATGTCTTACTCGAAATTTCGAGTTGATAAAAAACATACAACTACTAACCCGAAATTTCGACTTATTAACTCGAAATTTCGACATACTTACTCGAAATTTCGAGTTACTTATCTCGACTTTTCGACTTACTAACTCAAAATTTCGACTTATTAACATTTCAGAATGGACAAATTTATGAGTTACCAAGAGTATATATAGATAATATAAAATATAGTAGGGAGTGCGGTTGAACGATGGAGATGGAGAAACGGGTGCCTGGACAAACTATTAAAGTTAAACTTAAACTTAGTAATGGCATGTACACGCCCGACCTAACAAACACAAGGGTTCCTTTAATTTGTACGTTCGGGCGTTCTTCAGACGTTGTATTGTATTCTACTTGTTCGACCATATCTTTTCACTTATCATATAATTCTCATCCATGTGAATAAAACGATCCTATACTTCACGTGTGGGACATCTGAGGAAAGTATCGCGGATTGACCAAAATAGAAGTGCTGGGGCTTTTGTCAAATTTGTTGGACTGACTATATTTCTTGTAAAAACGGATGCTTTTCTATTATTCCCAACATGTATATAACAACAAGTTCCACTTTTATGAACTTTTATCAACACAATATGAATCAAAGTCTTATTAAATAATGAATAATGTGACAAAAACATTATTAGTATAAAGAAACGTGACAGACTAACTGGGGTATACACGCCATTTAAAACTTATTTAACACATGAATGATGCACAGTTTACAATAGGGTGGGTTTTGGACTTGTTGTATCTCCACATGATGGTTGTATGTGTGCTTTAACAAAAGAAACATCCGGTTAACACGGAAATGTGGAAAGTGTGATTTTACACTACCCCCCTCCCCGCCCCCCCCCTCAAGAAAAAAAGCGAAGGATATGTTCAGTATGTGACCCTTTTAAATTGTTTTGTTAAATACATAGGTGCTCTGTCAATGTGCAACAGCTACACACGAAAGATAGTATCTCGAATTCAATCCTTGCTTTCACAGGTAACCAATGAAAGTCGTGCAATATAAGTCGAAATTTCGAGATAAGTAACTGGAAATTTCGTCTTACTAACACGAAATTTCGACTTATGAACTCGAAATTTTGAGTTAGTTACTCGAAATATCGAGTTAGTAAGTCAAAATTTGGAGTTAGTAACTCGATATTTCGAGTTAATAAAAAACATACACCTGGCACTAATGCTCTTCCGTAGATTTCAGACTAAGGAGGACTTTCTTTTCATTAAACGCAGCCTATTTGAATATACATATTATTGTTCACTTTATAAAATAATTCATTTTAGTTCGATTCTGATGGAAGCTATAGCTATATAAGCTTATTGAAACACTCTCGAATCCGTTCTTTGAACCAATCAGTACTAATCAATGAGTGTAAAGTTTATTGATCGCGGAACCAACGGCTTGCCCCCGACGGGGTTTGAACAATGCGGTCAGAAATCTTTAGATAAATACTACGACGTGTAACTAACAACTCGGACCGGCTATGCCGCCACATTTATAGACTATCGGTAGAACGTTTGAATCTTATTTATTGTATATAATGGATACTGAGTACACTAAATATAGATCTAAAAACATATCAACTGATAATGAAAGACAATAAAAACAATGTTTTGTTATATTTTATTGTACTGTATTGTATTGTATTTATAAAAATATTTGCGAAAATCCCGAAAAAAAACCGTAAAGAAATAAACCGATGTCCGTTTATTGTATTTCACGTAAACAAAAATAATTATATCACGACGAAAAAAAATATTGTTTTTATCGCAATGCAGTTACTGTCGTGTATTATATTCTTAATCCAGGTATTAAGTCACTAAAAATGAATCATTTCACTCTAGTATATTTTAATAAATTTTTATTGAATAAATTTTGTAGTTAATAAATGCAAAATGAAAAAGAAATAACCTATACTTAGATGGGTGAACGATCAAATCTGACAACTTCCGGTTTACTTTATGACCTGTTTGACAAGTATATGATCAGCCGAATGACTTCTGCGGTTTGCCCATAAGGTAAGTTTTAAAGCAATATAGGTTACTAAATTGATGAAGAATAATAAGAAGTTTTATTTATAGGGATGTCAATTCGTTCCTGAGGGCTAAACTTTTTACTAATACTTTCGAAGTAATTTGACACATCTCGAGTCATTTGGTTCCCAAGATGTTTCGACACTGGCTTAGTCTGAATTTTACACAGATGTCTGCTTTCACAGGGAAAACCGACATAGGCCTTCAATTTGTTGGGTTAGTAACGCCCATAACGTCTCTTTACCAAAAGGAGCCCATTCATTTTTATTTCAGTGTAAGTTTCATTTTATTTTTATCTTACATGTTTTATACATTAAGTAATTCAACAAAAAAATGATTCTTTGAAAGATTTTAAAAAAGTAATTTAACGCTCAATATCAGCTGTTAAGCTGTTTACTTTAGCCCCTGCAAAAACTGAAGATCTTCTTAGACATTAGAGGAAATTTACATGTAGAAGCAATGTCCTATTATTTCTGACTAAACTCTAATTGATTGCTAGTTGATTCTTCATACCCACAAATGACAAAGGAACATCATTGTCAGTTTTTTATTTTACCCTCACCACCATGATCATTGTTAACTTGAAAAATCTCTAGGCACTGAAAAGGATTGAACCTCGGACCTCTTGATTACAAAGCAGACACACAACCATGTAGCGGAAAGGTCAACACAATATCAAGGCTGTTGTGAATGATCTATACCTATAATCACTACATGGTTGAAGTAATTTAATCAGTTTTAATTAAATCAAACATTAACAATTTTTGATGTATTGATATTCACATTTTAACATTTTATTTACAAATATACATGTGATATCATGATAAAATGATTGAACATTTCTTATTTAACTGATAATATTGGTGAGTATTATGAAGAAAATATATTATGATAAATTTTCAAATGTTATATCAGAACATGCTGTACACAATCATATATAATATATATATATATATATATATATATATATATATATATATATATATATATATATATATATATATATATATATATATATATATATATATATATATATATATATATATATATATATATATATATATATATAAATTTGGAGAAAATAAACGTTCATACAGTGCTAAAGTATAAATACCCAAGTACTTTCGGCGTATTATGCCTTCATCAGGGGTGTATTACATGTATAATGTGCACACAATCGAGCACAAAATCTCAATACGTGTGTACTGTATAGTATCAAAAATTGAACTGAAACACAGTCGCTAGAAAGGTGATAAAATTACATCGATTATGAATAGACCGTTAGACCACAGCTGTTTTCTCTCGGCCAATCAGAGAGGCTAAAAAGTGTTTGATATATCCCATACATCACAGTAAAGTGTTTGATATAACTATCATGTTTGTATTCAACTGAAAGAAAACCCCGTTATGTGCACGCTTTATGCGGGGAAAATTTATATGTATATAGTCAAGTTCATAGTGTAATTCCCTTCTTAAAATTAACAGATAGCAATAGTCCTTTCACCAATTTATTTCGACATTTCATCATTTTACAAGAATAGTTACTGTATTTGTAAATAAGAAAAAAATAGCAATAATGATGTGAAATGCGTTTATCTATCTATTTAAATCTATATATGTATCTAAATTTTACGACGGCTTTTGTGCTAATATTTTCAGGCACTGTGATTTCAATAATCGCATC